AATTATTCCCTGGAGAAAATAATCCTTCCAAAATCTCACAGTTTGAAAAAAATACAGATCCACACTTTCTTGGTCTTTTTTGGCCAATGTCCCATCCTGCTACTAACCTTCGTGGAATTCCACTCAAACAAACAAACAATCTAATGGACAGGAGGAGAAAACATCACCTCCTTGCTTTAGGTAATAATATTGTGCAATGTTGTGTTTTGCCCCAAAGTGGCTATAATGGTGAGAACCTGGAGGAATTTCTTCATCATCTTGCATCCTCTCATTTAATTTTTCTCTTTGCTTTTCATTCCATATCTACACATAATGTGTTGGAAAAGCCAAAGTGCCAGTGAGCGACACATCTTGTTTCTTAACTTTGTCAAAGGAATACTTTCTTTCTTTTAATTTCTCTGATAAAATGTAAACTCTTATTCACCATTGCTTGAGTTTGACCTTCATTTCCTTCTGATCTCAACATCAGTTTGATTCATCATGTTATTTTAATGTCACTGATTGGGAATGTCACCATTTTGACCTTTTTCACATTATGCCTGCGCAGCCTTCATCACAGATACAGTCACTCTGTGTCCTCTGCCTCTCCTCGTCTTTCTACTCAATCACACATTCTCATGGCGGAAAATCCATCATGAGTCAAACATTTGAGCTGGATTTTATTTGTTAAGTTGGTAGAAGCAGCTGTGATTTTAAACAGCTGTCATGTGCCCGACTGTGCCTTGTCTCATCCTAAGTTATGTGATGTAGAGAGAATCCACCACCGTCTGTAACTGGATCATACACAGAGGCATTTAAGCCACCGTCAGAAGTGGTGAAATTAGTCAAGCGACTACTGATAGTGCAAAGGAACTTGTTAGCAGAAACTTATTAAGTGTTGATGGAGCAACACACTGAATATAAACAACCAGCAGACATGACATTCCTTATTTCTACCCGCCGGCGTTGTGTTGGAGGGGCTACATCCCCCTGACCCAAACTGCTCCAGAAATAGGGCCTGTTTTTGTAAGAGGATCCATCACAGAGACACAGACACCCCCCTCTCTTTTCTCAGTGAGACTCTGGTGGTCTGTCGGGTCTCTGAAGTGCAGAGAGGTGTCCGTTTAATTTTTGCAGAGATGTCAGAAACATGATGTCTGTCGTTATCCCATAGAACTTTCTCCTGGAATGTAGAGGCAGTGAACTTTTCAGACTGCTGCATCTTCCTTCCTGGTTTATCAGTGATGAAATTCACAATTACTTCCCACTGAGAAGGACAAATAATGCTTTTGGTTTTTCTGAATCTTAATATATATTTTGATTGATTGATATAAGTGAAACTAGTGCAGTGCCCGATCTAAACATGCCTGCTGGGAATGGGCTGTTTGCTTGGCCTGTGCATCTTTCTTTTTGAACCGTAAATTTGAGCCATGACATAAAGGCTGCTGGACGCTGAAGCTGCGCCACCGCTGCCGCGTAAAGAGCTGTTCACTTGTTTATTAAAAGTTCAGTGAAGCTCAAGTCAATACACAGAACCCTGAACTGGAGAATCAGTTGCCATAAACACGCTGTTGTCATGGTCCACAAAGTCACTGGTGAGTCCACAGCTGCTACAGAGCAGGTCACCAGTTTATTGAAAATGTATTAATATTGAACGTATCACATTTCCAAATCTCAACAAATTCAACTCTGCAGGGGCCAATAACAGTACACATCCCAAGAGTGGAGTCGATTAGATGAACAGTTCTCAAGATATGCGAATAACAGACAGAAAGAGAATTCTGGATTTACACAATGATGACAGTTGTGTGAGGTTAAGTTTGAATGTTTGCGTCTGTGCCAAACAGGGTTTTAGATTTTATTTATAGTGAGTATCCTGTGCTATATTTAAATGTATTTGAGGAACTTCACATACACAGCAACGCATCTGTTTGTGTTAATGACAAATGTGTTTCCTGTTTGATTTTGAACTTCCTGTTGGTCTGTGGACGGAGGATATTTATTGTGCAACCAGCATCTTGCTTTTGTCCTGGTTTTACCATCCAAGCCTGAGAGTAAATCAAACAAGAATGGTACTCAGTGAACTCAAACCTTCACCAAGGCCACACAGTCCCCTTATGAAACCACATTTAAATTTTAACACGCCTGTTTTTCTTCATCAAGATAAATTGAGAATGAGAAATCAATGAAAATGTAAAAAAAAAATTGGCAATATTAAAGACAGTGAAAACATTCCTAGATCAGCACCTGCACCAATACATTCTTCCCTGACCCATACCACATCCCATTACCAAGTTTTGTGGTCAAAAGGTGGTAAAGTAGGTTTTGCGTAATCCTTCTTTGAGACAGACAATCAAACCGAGACGAAAACATTTGCTCCTTGGTGGAGGAAGTTAATCTCTTTGATTCTGTGGTTTAACTCAGAAGCATTGTCATTATTCATTTGTGTTTTGATAACTTCATGTATGTTGCTGCTGGTTAACTCAACAACAGCTGTGCAGTGAGGAGTGATGGGTATTTGACAGAGGGAGCGTTGTTGTAATCGTGGGCGTTGTTTCTGAAATCCATCTGTCGAGAAAGCTTTAAAGAGCTCCCTTCAGAACGACAGGACGCATTGTGCACTTTATATTGAGACTTGCTTACATTATGTGGAATTAAACATCTGGAAACAGCTGTCGTGCCCAAAAGGTTCATTCATGCTGAGATGATTTTTAGATGAAAGATTTCCCCTAGAAATAAATCTGGTTATAATGTCAGATTGGAAACTTCAGCACCAGTCTGCATCACCTTCTTAAAACCTATTCCAATAAAAAAACTATTAATTGTGGAAGATGGGGATGCAGGGTGGATGTGAAGCTGCTGTCTCATCACTGCTGAGTTATTTGAGGCTGTTCAGACGGCCGCAGGGGAACCGGAGAGCAGCGGATTGCAGGGAAGTGAGAGGAAACCGGATGAGACCACACCATGTGTTGGTACAGTCCGGGGGGTGGGGGTCTCTCAGGTGTCATGTCATCTTCCTCCTGCAGAGCAGCACATCAGAGGAGGGGGTGGTCACATGTTGGCATTTGAATGTTACCGGCGTCCTCAGGGCCTTGGAAACAAGTCGCGGCCACGAGAGACAAGATCATGTGTCAGTAAATTTACATATCTGATTTTGCCATTTTTATTATTTTCATTTTTATTTTTGTTTTTTATGTATCTGTAGTAAATTACTATGATTACAAAACTACACTGTATCATTTCATTAATTTCAGGCTCAGCAGTCAAGACAATAGAATTCATTCATTCATACTCTGTAAGCACAGCTTGTGTTCTGTGATATAAAGTATTCTGCCTCTGGGAAACATCTTTCAGGGGTTCTGATGAATCTCCAGTTCATCATTGCAAAGTCTCAATATTATTGTTTTGTAAAATTAGTTTGTAATCGTGGCTTTAAAATATGACTCGTAGGAACAATCTTTTGCTCTTGATAACTTCCTGATGAAACTGTAACAGGTAAAACACGATGAGGATGAATTTGATAAGGGACTTCCCTGGTGTCGATGTGCTACAAACAAGAACATTTGATATCCCTCCTTCATACTCTACTGAGGCGCCACCCCTCGTCTGAACGCTCCGGACATTCTTCTGTTGCTGTGAACGTGTCTCTCTCTTGCTGCATTCTTCATATACAGATCATGTCTGAAAAACAGCTTTACAGTCTGGCTCTTTTTCGTACTATGAAGTGTTGCAGCACTATAGTGTATTGAGAGTCACTAAGCCCATTAACAAAGCTCCTCGCTTTGCTTTCCTTGGCCTTCACGCCATCAGCCTGCTAATGTGCGTCTGAGAATGGCTCCCAGAGGCGTCGGAGGTGAAAACCAGAGAAGCATTTAGTCACTTCACAGGTTCTGCAGTTTAACTTCACCTCTGCGTGTCCATGTCACCTCTCGGCTTTAACACCTCCTGGCACACGGGGTGCTGAGGTCACAGCGGTAGTCACACACAGCACATATGGCTCGAGCTGTCGGTGGTCATTTTGTGATGTGATTTGTGATGTGATAAAGCCACATAAGTCAGTTGCCAAACGTGTCCTTTTTATTGGTTCATTTGCTTCGGTAGCTGCCGTGTGTTGTGTGACTCTTTACCCAGTGCGTCTGCAGCTGGTTTGCTGATCAAACACTTGCGTTTTTTAACACACTTTATCATTACCCGACACATCGTGCACTCCCTCCTGCACTGATGCCTGTGCACGTTTCTTCATGTGCTATATAATGATGCCACCGCAGTAAAGGGGGATTTACATGGGTTGAGCTTTAGGTTGACGTCGTGTTTATAGCTTTTAAAAATGGCACGCGCTCCTGTCAGTATGCACAAGCCTCTACATTCCTGCAGCGGCTGTATGCATGTTTATGTTCCAGTGGTCACTTGTAGTGGGATCTGCAGAAAGGTGTGGCTCCACACTGATCCCTCAGCTAACCAGATAATTACACCCTGACTCTGTTTTATAGGTTTGAATCCATTGATCACATTTTAGGGGTAAGAGTGTACAGTGAAGCATCTCTATAATCCAATATTCTCAACCATTAAAGAGCTGCCGAATCACACCCACTTTCCAGTTATTTTCTCTTCCGTTCGCTTTTATCTCTTAACTTAGCTTCTCATGAAGGACTTCTTTCATTATTCTTTGTAAAATCACTGGGCTTTGTAATCTGGGCTTCAGTGGCAAAGGGTAAGGTCGACGTGTTTCCTTTTTTCAGTCTTAATGAAGTTGTAGGAGCTTTGAATAATTTTCACTGAATCTATTATCCAGCACCCGGTCTAAAAATAGGATGACTACCCTTTTACATCTTTGTTGGCGACGACACATGAAAAGTTGTTGAATGATTATAAAAGTATCAATATTCTTTGTAGCAAACCACTCAATTCCCATTTATGATGGATAAAGAAACTCTATATAAGATCGACTGGCTCTTGATACTTCCACATCCAGCGGCATAATGTTAACACATTCTTTCTTTTTCCCCTCTTCCTGTCTCCAGTGAACAGAGTATCTGCCAGGCGCGGGCCTCGGTCATGGTCTATGATGATGCCAGTAAGAAGTGGGTGCCCATCAAGCCCGGGCAGCAGGGCTTCAGTCGCATCAACATCTACCACAACACTGCCAACAACACCTTCAGAGTGGTGGGCGTCAAACTGCAGGACCAGCAGGTGAGAGATAATAAATATAGTATAAATAGATATAAATACATCACAAGAGAGTCTCTGGTAATGTAAAGCGTTCATATATGTTTGTATTTAGTCAGAACATAGGTCAGATAGATTCAAGAAAAGATTCACAGTCGTGATCCCGATTTGTTAGTGTTTGATATACAGAGACAAACAACTTTTCACATCTTCTGTCAATTAATAGTCTGTAATCAACCTAACCCCACATTTCATGTCCCACAGTCCACAGAGCTGTTAAAGCTGTTAAATTGTGAAAGCAAACAAGAATCTCCTTCTCGTCCTTCAACACCAGCTGATGAAGAACATTGAGAGAAATACTTGTTAATTCTGTAGCACCTTGTCGTCTTTGACTTCACAGCATCTTTTGCTCTCTTGCATTAAAGGTGGTGATCAACTACTCCATAGTAAAGGGGCTGAAGTACAATCAGGCCACTCCCACCTTCCATCAGTGGCGTGACGCTCGCCAGGTCTATGGGCTGAACTTTGCCAGTAAGGAGGAGGCCACCACCTTCTCCAACGCCATGCTGTTCGCCCTCAATGTCCTTAGCTCACCTGACAGCGGAGGTAAGGATTCATGACGTATATAGAATAAGTTCATCTTATTATTTCATCCATTCATTAAATATTCACTCCATGATCAATATTTTCCATGAGGCGCTGATGCCCTTGTTTGTATTGGACTCTCTGTCGGGCCATGAGGTTGTTCTAAGACATTCTCTGAATGTTTCAATGAGTCATGTTTTATCTCCATGGAGAAATGGGGGGGGGGGACTCTCTGATGTTTGTGTGGAAGGTCAGATGGATTTCACATCAAATTTCAGCTCTAATCTGTGATCAATACAACAGTAGTATGAGGAAGATGATTGACAAGACGACATTCAAGCAACACACAATCATCTAAACTGTTGATTATACTTCCACATGTGACTGCAATGTTCAAACGTTTCATAGGGCTGAACTAAGCTGTACTGCCCTCTGCTGGTTCCTACAGCGTATTACAGATGCACTCTACAATCCAAACAGTAATTGTGGCTGGTTGCTGAGTAAAAAAGTTGTTATTTTATCCTCATTTAAAGATTTGTTTTTATATGTTCACCTCCAGACAACAGCTGAGAGAGACAGAAAGCAAATGAGTGGAGCGAGAGAATGGCATCAAGGCCGTTCCATGGTTTGCATCTCGTGTGTTCTTCATTTAAAGCTTCACTCTTGCATCAACGATCATAGCTTTTCAAAGTAAAACATAAGAACTATGTAAAGTGGGGAAGCAGCGTTATTATAGTGGTGGTCAACTCAGCAGGTTTGTATTTTTTTATGTTTTTTTCTACATGATCAGACAGAACTGTATTTAAAGTTGAAGTCACACACACTCTGAGAGTTTATTTAATAGCTTCTGAGCAGCTCTGGTTACGAGCCACTTATAAGTTTTGTATTTAACTGAGGTGTCATCCCATCCCATCCTTGTGACTCTTGGCTAAAATATCCCATAAGGAGCCTTGATGTCTTGGCCCACTTTGCTCACATGGCAGCATGATGGGCCTGGTCATGCAGGGGAAAAGTGTGTCTGTCTGAGGAAAAGTTTCTCCTTGAGGTCTTGACTATTCTCTAGTTCTTTTTGGAAACATCACTGGTGTGTTGGCTACTTCAGGGAGAGTTTCTCACTATGTTGACTCCAGAGATTTCACCTGGTGTCCTCAGGCGGGTTTCTTCAGCCATCATCACCCTCAGTAAGTGTTTTGCAGTAGAGGGAAGATGTCGTGCACGTTCGCAATGGTAACAAGCTGCTTGGAGAACAGAGGGAATTTGAGCTTCAACTATTTCTACTTAGATAATTGTTTATTATGGTGCTAAGGAACTGTGATATAGAGCTGCATAGCAGTAATGTCTTTAAACGACATTGTAAACATTAAAGAGGTGAAATTATTTGATGCTTTTGAACAGCAAGTTAACAACTTTGAGATTTGGAGAAATGATAAGACACCTTGTGCTCTGGGAAGTTTTGATGTGTGTCTCTTCACTATTTATTTTGACATTAATTATCTTCTACCAAGCAGAAAGATTAGGCTGAGAACAACACGAGGCCTCCGAAAATGTGAGGAGATCATTCAGAAAAGTGCAAATCAGAATATAATTGAGGGAAGGTGTGAGGATGTTTGAGCCCTGCTCTCTCTCCCCCCATTCCACATTGCACTGTTGTGTGAATAAATACCCCAAAAATATAATTAAAAGAAGAAAATTCAGGGACCTTTTTACTAAAATCTGTCTGTTTCTGTCAGCCTCTACTAAGGAGGCTGATGTTTGTCATTCATCATCTACTGAAACAATTGTACTGGAGTACAATAGTGAGGAATAATTGATTTCCCTTGATTTCATTAAGACAACTCACATATGCCCTGACTCACAATGGTCTCCTGAGATAAAATACTTACAAGCCTGATCAGGTCTTATCGTCCCCAGAGCTTCCTGTTCTTCTCTGACCCTCACCGTGGCAACAGCAGAGCACCTCTACTATGCACCATGTTAGAGGTGGATACACACAGGCACATATATATATGTGCATGGATACACATTAAGCACAGCAGCACTGCGACACTGGGTGATAACTGTCTCCTTCACATGAACCTCATTAACGTCTGCAGATGGTTTGTGTTGATAAAAAAGCCTCGGGGTATGTTTGAGCACTGACTCCCTGAAGTCTGGAGCAGAGTCAGCAGGTGCATGAAGCATCTGATGCTTTCACTGCATCTGTAGATTTATATTCTTCAATCATTTCTTAGAGATAAAGTCTCTGCAACACAATTTAAAGACCAGTCTTGTGCTTATGTTGAACAGTGGCCCTGTAATTACAAAGCCTGCAGTGTCAGAGATCAACTCCCTCATCTTATCTTGTTCACAGTGATCTGAAAACTTATTTTAGATCTGCAGATACTCAATTAACAGGTCTAAAAAAGTCTTAAGTCTAACATCTAACAATCTGAAGTCTAAAATCTAACAATCTGAATTTCACGCCTTAAGGTTTTAAATGTGTTAATATGGTACAGACTAGAACTTAAACCGATCAGGTCTGTCTTTATTATGTAGACGCTCATTTAACACTACTCCCATCACAATTAAAATGTTTTTTATCAAAGAGAAATGCTTTGGTAGCATGCATAGTTAGAAATGTCTCCATTAGGGCTGCAAGAATTGGAATAAAATGAAGAATCCTCTGATTTAAGGTCTTCAGATGTGAATATCTTCTGGTTTCTTTGCTCCTCTAATGACAATAAAGTGAATGTCTTTGGTTTGTGAACTAAATAAGACATTTGAAGAGGCCATCTTGGGGTGTGGGAAACACAGATTGACATCTTTCACCATTTTCTGACATTATATGATGATCAACAGATGAATCAATAATGAAAATAATCGTTAATTTCAGCTCTAGTCTCCATGTGTTATGGTTCTTTCTCAGCAACACAGAAAAGACTGGGAAAGACTGTTGATACGACTGTCAGTGTAGTTTGAGAGAAACATGGTGTTTCTCTACTCGGCTACTTCAATTATGAGGGAATGTAACTAAATCTGGAACTCTGATATTCCTTCATATCTGTCGTACTTGACATAGATCTTGAATTCAATTTAATTATGGTTTTATAAAGTCTTGAATTTACCTGTAACCTGCAGAAACCCTGAATTAGGCCCCAATCAAAGCAAAAACATACATCACTTCAGTCTTGTCTCTTTTTGCAGAGAGAGCTTAGTTGTTTTTAACGTTCTGAATATTTGCTAAATTTAGTGTGCAGCTCTGCCAGCAGAGCACATAATTACCATGAGTAACGAGCAGAGTTCAGGGCACTCCCCTGAACTCTGTTCGTTAGGGAGTGAGGAGGAAAGGACGTCTTCAAGTTATCGCTTCTTTTATTCTGCAGCACAACAAAAGAAATCCAGCAACTGGGTCAAAGCCAGGCCAGAACACATGCAAGTCTCATCAGCAAGGGAACACAAGTTTGATCTGTCTTCTTGTACAGACGGAAATTTTAAATACAATTTTTAAAAAAACAATAAGGAGAAACTATTTTTAGTTTAATTGTGTTATTATTATCATTTATAAAGCTCTTTTAACAGCATTAACCTACATTAAAGTTGTGGAAAGGACTGAAGTTGATAAGATATTAAAGAGAAAGAAAAAATCTATACAACATAGTTCAAATCTTCACTTTCAGTCGTCTGTGTGATTTGTGCTTTGCTTTCCAAACTGCAGCTCTGCCTCGTGTTGACTGCCCCCGTCGCTCCGCCCGACACCCCCATCCACACTCCCGTCACAGCCAACGGAAATATCACCCATGGGTGTTCTTGATGACACAGTGGGCGGTGAAGTTAAATGACTGGTATTCTGATGATATATGATAAGTGCCCTCCCCTGATGCAGCCCTGTTAATAGCTGCCCCAGAATGAGGCTCTAAAAACTCACCCGAGGTTCGGGTGAGGAGGCGGCTAAAGACTGTCTGTAGTTGGTCAACAAGCAAAGTGCTAAACTAAGACGGTCATGTGGCTCATGTTGATTATTTAACATTCAGCAGAGGCTGTTATCGTGTTTAGGTAACGCCATGAAACCGTGTTGACACAGTGACTCAAACACTGATGATTCATCTTTTGCTGAAATGATTTTCTCTTCATGGATTTCTTTAGAGTCTGTGTGGGATCTGGTTTGTTCTGTGTTAGGAGCTGTGATCCTTTTTTGTGCAACGTTTTTCTATTTATTCCACTCTCTCTCTCTCTACAGTTGAGATTCCTGTGGTTGGCAACATATTGAGCAAATTACATTATAAACAGATTGTTGGCTCTCCAGGGCAAAGTCACAATACCTCACCTAATGCCTGCTGCTGCGTGCGTCTCCTGTTCTGACTGCTGACTGGCTGACTGTCACTGTTTTATATAAGATGATTATCATTTCTCTGACTTGGGCCCAGAGGAAAATGCACAAAAACTAAATCCTTTACATTTAAGAGGCTTAGACCTGCTCTGAGCAACACGACCAACTATTTTTGGAAACTAAAGAGACAAGCTCAAAACATATGCATGTTTTAACAGTGTGAGGCAATTAGGGAGATGATAATACCTAAGAAACAACAAAGCTGCTGCAGCATGTCACAATAAAAAAGTAGCATATTGTACAGAAAGATAGATGAGGGAGGAAATATGAAGTAGGAAAAGCCGACACATTAGTCATCAGGTATTAGTATTAGCATTGAAATAACCCTGAGGAGGATGACGTAAGAAGAGGAAGACAAGAATGAAGGAGGCAAAGGGACAGAGATGATAGAGGGAGAGAAGCAGATTAATGTCCACAAAATAAAGAAGGACGGGGGGAAGAAAAGCATCAAAACAAACAAGATGTAAAAGAGCCAAACAGGAAAGCAGAGGAAGAAGAAGAGGTAAAACATGTCAGAGGGTAATGGACACATTTATATGTATAATCATCAGACACATGCTGCTAAATAAGGAAATGTAGAGTCAAAAGCTAAGGTGTCCACATACTACTTGTGGCTCTGTGTTGTGTTTTGATGTTGTGTCATGTACTTATTCTTGTTTCTCTGTGGTGCATCATTAAATCATATGTTGTCAGGTGCATACAAGGAGACTTGAGGCCTCCTGCAGCAGCCGCAGGGTCAATTCTGACCCGTCCCTTTGCTGCAGGTCTTCTTCACTCTCTCTCTCTCTCTCTCTCTCTCTCCCATTTTAACATTTAGGCTGTCCTGACAATAAAGACAAAAATGCCCTAGAAATAATGTGTTGTAAAAGCTTATGTTCTGTGCTCAAGGGAAAGTTAATTTAGCCTCCCTTTATTCTAACGAAACTGATATAAATATGGTTGATTTTTTTTTTTTTCTCTTCCAGGTCCAGTCGTTCAGCGCCAAAATGGGCCGTCCTCAGAGGAAAGTGAGGCACAGAGGAGGTATGAGTTTCCTCAACCCGCTATGCTGAAGACAAGAGCATAGATGAAGAAAATCCAGTGTCACCAGATGATTTCCAGAAATCAAATACAATTCAAAAACACTTCTCAACTTCATATTTTAGCCATAATGTTCCAAAAGCTAAAAAATGATTTCGAGGATGAGGCTGGCAACAAAAATCTAAAGCATCATGATCACTTTTGCTGCTGTTTTCTTCTGCGACACTTCAATCCCTAGAAACCTCTTCTTAACTTAATTGTAAAACACTTGAATGATTTTAACAACACCGGCATCCTTGTGTTTCACAGGATGATGGAGCAACATCAGATGCAGGCGCACAAGGAGAGGGAGCGACGGACGTCAGGATCAGGTGAGGCCTAAGCAAAGGAACCCACACCCAGCTGTACGGACAGACACGCACGCTCTCACACCGACGCTGCTCTGGAGACCAAAGGCTGCGCAGCGTCTGCTCTGAGCTACACAAACATTTCAGACAAACAGGCAACGAAAAAAAACCTGCGGCACATTCAAACTATCAGTAAAAGGGTATTTGCTCTGCTTTGTTTTTTGTATTTGAGGGAACTTATCAGTGTTGGGTCAGGTAAAGCAAACAGGTGATTTTATCATTAATAAATACCAGAGATTCCAGACCCTGGATCAGTTGGCTCCTGCAGGTAAACAGGCTTCCCCAGTGTTGTTTCTGTTTCCGGCCATAGTTTCAACCACTACTCCCCCAGTCTGTGTGCCCTCGTGCTTTTTTTAATCCAATGCACACGTACAAATGTTCAAGTCTGCCGCTTTAACACACACACAGACTTAAACATCCTCCTCTGTCCCTGCTGTCAGTGGTGATATCAGTACCCTCCTCCCCTCCCCCCTCTGTCCCTGCAACATGCTGCACTGCCATCTCTTTCTTCCAGCTACTGTTGGGGGGGAAATGCCATATGCTTTCTGATCATGGCTCAGTCATGTTGCATTCTGCTGCTTGTTCTTTTTATGCTATTTTGATTCTTTCTTATTTGCTACTGGCTTCTGTTTTTTGGATTGCTCCTGATTTTCTCATCTTTTTACTTGCTTGGTTGATCAGTTGGTTGCTTTTCATTCTTCTCACGTTTTTCTCTTTTCTGTTTTCCTTTGTTTGTTGCCCTCCTTCGTCCTCCTCCTCTTCGTCTGCATCTGCTCTCTCTCTCTCTCCTCTCTCTCTGTCTTTCTATCTTTGCCCATCACAGTCGTTTCCACTCTCCAATATAAAGTCTCCACTCCTGTCACCCACCCAGACACCCCTCCCGAGTACAGACAGTACAGAGCTAGCACACTGCCACCCTCCTACGTCCGCGTGGCCTCCTCCCCTCCCACCTCCGCCTCCTCCTCTCCGTCTCAGGAGAAAGAGGCAGGGGCTGCTAGGGACAAGGCCCAGCTTTCCTCCCAGCTCTCCACCTCCCTCGCCTCAGCTTTTTCCCCAGTCCAGGCAGGAGTGACCACGCAGGGCCGACAGGTCCGTCAGATCCCCCTGTCTCCTCCCACTGCAGCCCGCCACCTCCACCTCCAACAGCAGCAACAAGACTTCATGCTCCCCCCTAAACATGGCACCTGGTCCGCTTCTCATTTGCAGCAAATGTATGCCCAGTTGCCCCCCTCCTGCTCCCCTCCAGTCATGATGGCCATGCCTGTGAAGCAGAGCTTGCCCCCACAGCCCGTTCTCCCGGTGGCTCACCCACTCCCACCCGTGAGCACCAGGATGAAGCCCCCACCTCGTGACCCGGGCACCATGACAGGCCCTCACCAACAGTACCCCCAGCACCAGCCCCACCCTCACTCCAACGGCCAGCCAGACGACCATTACTCCCCTCACTCTCAGCATCTGCCACTCACCCCTCAGCTCTGCGAGGCCGTCCCCCTGCCTCCTCTGATAGGTCAGCCGGCCCCAGGCTCTGCCCCCAGCCACCACTCCCAGTACTCTTCCACCTTCCACCCTCAGCAGCATCAGCAACTACAACAACAACCACCACCGCAGCAGCAGGTGTACCACCATCAGACCCAGCCCCTCACCACCACTTCCTCCTCCTCCTCCTCACCCCCCTCTTACACTGCAATGTCTGACGGGGGCTCGCCCAAGAAGACCCCCTCCCCCATCCCCCAGCAGGCCCCAATGGCCATCAGCAGTAAGTATTAGGAGGAGAGAGGAGGAGGTAGTCTCTCAACAGAGGGATGTTACTCATGTGTAGTGTTTGTGTGAATGTGTGTGTGAGTGGGAGCGGAACATGATAAAGACACACGTGTCATACACACACGACACATCAGCTCCTAAAGCCCCACACAGATGTTTGCACTTCTTTTGCTCGATGACGTTTCCTCTCAGGAGTGTGAGGGTGTCAACATGACCTGACCCACCCTGCTGCACCTATAGAACGAGGCCTATAGGGAGATATAACAGCTATCACTGTTATAGTCTTATCCAGGACAGAGGAATAGGAAAAACCAATGTGGGCTTGTAGAACCTGTAAATCAAACAGTGATGAACTCATCAGTCTTTAAAATAATAAATAATAGCAACAAAAAACCAGGTTACAAAGTGCTTTAAAAAAATACATGGGACTAAAACAGCATAGAACTAAACAACAATAAGAATAAGTTACCAACCTTGAATTAAGTTACAGTCACACAAATGTGACTGTGAAGCAAATATCACAGGTTTATTCGCCCCTCGCTTGCACAGCTGGAGTGTAGCGAGTTAGTAGCTCCTCATAATATAACTGGGGCCCAGACGATGCTGAGCTTTAAAAGTTATTAGTAGAATCGTAAAATGAATCCTGAATTTAAGTGGCAGCCAGTTAAGGGAAACTGGAGTGATGTGGGCCGTACTTCCTGCTTGGTGTTAAAATGGGAGCAGCAGTATTTACTTTAGTAAAAAGTGAGTCTGCAGAACACCAGGAGGCTGAAACTGACGCAGCAAAATGGAATTCAGGTATCATTCAAATATTTACACCGGTGATTTTTTCTACCTTTTGACACTAAACATACAAGCAGTGCAAGTTGAATATTTTGGTCCTGCCACGTCACTCAGCTGAAGTTTTTCCAGCTCAGCAAGAGTTTTAATTTGTGAAGACAAAAATCTCCTGAAACTAGAAGGATGGATGCAGAGCAGGCCTGTAGACTTGACCCCTTGAAGTTCATAATAACTCATCCACATACCTAATTCCTCCAGGATCAGGGATTATGTAAAAAATACTTCAGATCCTTGTATATTCATTTGAAATGGATTTAAACAACCTAAAATTAAATTTTAAAGTCACACTTAAATCTCAGTCAATATTTAAACTCCAACTCCAACGTGCTGCAGTAATTATGGTTGAAAGTCATCCTGCAAAACAACCTTTTGAAACATGCTTTACTTACTAACTTAAATCCAACCTTTTATCAGTTTATGTCAGTTAATTATATTACAACATAATATATATACAGAGGCAGTACTGCAAAAACCAATAGCAATAGATCAGCCTAAGCTTAAGCTGTCTTGGATATTTTAGTTAATGAGATGATAATGCAGCTTGAACAAAAATATAAATACTAATATAGGGAAAGTATGATTGCAACTTGGAAATTAGTTTCAAGTCTCTATTTGTTTTAAAAAAAATGAAATTAACTAAACAGCCAGAATCTTTCTCCCAGTGAAAACCCCTGATCTAACTTGCTAGTGCTGCCCAGTGGTTAGTTACCTTCCATTAGCAGTTGTCAGTGTGCAACTTATCATTCCTGAGATGAAACTTCATCAATCTTCCAAAGGCGGAAACAAAGGTCAGTAAACTGATTGATTTATTAATTGATGTGTAATTCTGCTCCTCCCAGGCCCCCCTGTCTCTGCAGGTCACCCATCTATGCTTTCTGTGGCGCCCCCTCCAGCTGCAGTTCCAGCACCCATCGCTGGCCCTCCAGCACCACCACCTCCACCGGGTCCACCGCCCCCGATGGCAGTGCCCCCACCCATGCCCCCTCCGCTGCCCACTGGTGGAGGGCCTCCTGGGGGGCCGCCCGGGGTCCAGCATCAACCCTCAGGACTGGCTGCAGCATTGGCTGGAGCCAAACTACGTAAAGTACATAGGGTGAGTGTGTAGACCTGCACTGGTTGGCAGAGGTATATAAACGTATGGAGGAGACGGTAAACTGAAACTTGTTTTATCATGTGTTCCTCAGGATGAAAGCAGTCCGCCTGGGTCTGGAGGAAAAAGTGACTCCAACCGGTCTAGTGGTGGCAGTGGTGGTGGTGGTGGTGGTGGTGGGGAGGGACTGATGCAGGAGATGAATGCCTTACTAGCTCGCAGGTCAAACAGCTACACACACACGCACGCAAACATCTTTGTCTTATAGACAAACAGAAAAATAAATGACTGCTTTCTCAGCCCCTCAATCTCATTGCAACATTTCAGGTTTCCATTTTCCTCTGAAACTTAGAAATGAGCTCTTTTGTTAATGTTTCCAGTATTTCATCCTGGTAATGATTTGTGTGTTAGTCAATGAATTATCTTTATGATCTTACTGTTTGCTCATGTCAACTTTCCGCCCTCACAGACGGAAAGCTTCAGAGAAACCTGATGAAGTAAGTTCTTTTATTCCAGGTCAATGGATGTAGCATGCAGTTTAGCAAGTGGTTAATTAATACCACATTATGAGTGATTATATTTTCTGACTGCAATAGTGAAGCCTGAGCTAAATTTAATTCACTGCTGAGAGCGAGATGAGAGGATTGATACCGTTCTCATGTTAGTGTAGTGTCGCATACAGACTAGGTGCAGGGGCTAACAGCTGGTCAATGAATTTACAGCGTACAAAAAGCAAATAATGAATTATTATAAGATATTATAAAGTTATCATAGCTATGAAGCTAACTGGTTTCGTTTGGCTTTCTATTTAGCGTTAAGACAAGAGTAGAATCAATACTCTCGTTAAACTCTTGGTCTTAAATTGAAGAAGTGTATTTTTAAAAAATTTGAATTTTTGTCTCGTTAATGTTATCGTCTGTTTTTCCCTCTTTCCTGCAGGATGACTCCAGTGGTCGGGGGCCTGGTCAGAACTCAACAGGTGCAGACCAATTTTTCCAGCAGATAATTATAAAACACAGTAAATGTATTACGAACTAGATTGTCATTTAATAGAGCGCATTCCTCCACCAAGGCCCAACAGTCCCCTTACGAAACCTCATTTAAATTCACTAGATCTGGATTTTTATTTCGATTTTCACCAAATTTCACACACATCAAGATCCATGAATTATTCTCTTAAAAATCAATGAGATTGTTTGAAAAATCATTTTCATCTCATAATGTTAAAGTATTAAAAAGAAAAACTTGAGTGTTTTTTGTGTAATCCGGCTAACAACCCGACAAACCCAGATGAAGCCGTAACGTCAGGTTGTCTCATTATATTCCATTTCTTCTTTCTCTCCTCTCTAGATGCTGTGAAGAAACCATGGGAGCGATCCAACTCTGCAGAAAAGTCCTCACTGGTGTCAAGGTCTGCAAATAAGAGGAGGAGTGAGGGGAGAAAGATAGATCGTATAATAAATAGATGAAATGAAACAGACAGGGACCCTCTGGTGTTAGCCAGAGGGATATATTTCAGAATCAATCTCATCCTTTGCACTACAGTCACTAGGTAATTATCAGTATTGATAAAAGAGGAAGAGTCAAAACTGTGGTAACTGTCATCAACAGTGCCCCACCCTTAAATACACAGTCTTATGCACCACCTTATAATGGTCTCTTTGTGTGTGTGTGTGTGTGTGTGTGTGTGTGTGTGTGTGTGTGTGTGTGTGTTGCAGGGTGAGACCCATTGGCAGCACAAGTGAATCAGACACAGAGTTTGACAGAATGAAACAGGTCGGTATAATTCTCCTCTGCGTTATTACATGAATGTTTTATGGGTTTTGTAAACTTTAATTACTTTTACACACCCTGTAAAACTCACATGCAGGTCTTGTTTTGCAGGAAATCCTGGACGAAGTTGTTCGCGAATTACATAAGGTGAAAGACGAAATCATAAATGGTGAGCATTGTAAAGCACCCAGTGGCTCAGTATCTAGTAGCACACAGCATGTTAAATCTTTTATCTCAGCCAGACACCAGTTTTTACAACTCAATGGCAATACGTTTTTCACTTGAATGCTCATATTAAAAATGACCTGACGTCCTTTATATGAACAAAGCATGTGCCTCATCCAGGCAAAGCTTTTCTTTTTGCTGCAGAAATCTTCCTAAACTGATGGCGTTCTTTTCTTGCAGCCATCAGACAAGAAATCGGCAGAATCAGTACGTCCTAATCTCATCTGAGCCGCAGTCGGAGGAGAGCGAGAGGAGGAGTGAGAGGAGGACGGACATGCAGATGCACAGACAAGAGGACCAAGGAATGTTCTCTCAACGTTTCTGTGAGCTTGCGATGCCACGATGCAAGTTGCAGAGATGTTGTGCCAACATTTGAGTCTGCTGGACAGCGAAAACGGAAAGGAAAAAAATAGCAATGAACGGAGAAAGGATTGACGAGAGGAGGGCAGAAGACATGGATGGATAAAGAATGACGACAGGACTGATGAACTAAACAGAGGATTGAAAGATGAACTGAAAGACGAATGGAGGGATTGACGGATGTTAGTGCTGGATTCGGTGTTGTGTCCTCTCTGTGCACCTACGATAGACTCAGTCAGCCCAGTGTTGCAACTCTTTGTTCTCTGTTCAGTCTTAAGAGGAAAATATTTTTGTTTTCTAAGTTTTTACTGTTTTATTATTTAAAACCTGTGGTGATAATGATGATGCTGTGGACGACAATGAGTATTTTAATGATATTATAGAAGGAGAAAGGAATCTTGCACACCATTAATGTCAGCCTTTTATATTTTCTATTATTTTTTTCGTTTTAGTTCGTCCCTAAATATTTGATGATAACAAGCACAATATGGGCGAAACGGTGCTGCAGACTCACCTGCCCTCAACTGGCGTATTTTAAAAGAACTGGCTTTTTATGACCCTGTTCATACTGATGTTGTGTGTCTAACCTTTTCTCTCCAGAGATAATGGAAAACATGTTCATGTTTGAACGACAATTAGCCTCTTAAATTACTTCCTCCTTCCACGCTCGAAGTGTTAAGAACGAGCAAAAGATTCTTCTGGCGAATAATCGAATAACGCACTTTTGCTCTACAACTCCAGTGGGACTGAGGAACACGTTCGTCTCAGATGTGCGAGATCATTGAAACTTGGGGATCGTTCACAAAACAGGCCAATAACTGTAAATGTGCCACCTAGTTTTACCTAGATATAAAACAGTGTAGTGCTAGGGTATCTTATTAGTCATCCTATGCTTTGTGAACCGACCAAGTATGCATGAAACCTCTATCTCTAGTCTTTTTTATTTGGTTTGACGAAGAGAAAAATAATTTTAAAAAAGACACTAAAAATACAAACGGTGGTACATTTATTATAGTGGTTTGTTTCCATGAAGATTCCCCCTGTCTATATATGAGATGTTGAACTTGATAATGGTAGCAATGTGAAAAAAAACAAAGGGGGGGAGTGTGTTGGCAATATGCAAATCTTAAATAGAAAAGACTGTGCAGAAAGTGACTGTTGGCCTGTGTGATGGTAGCTACATTTGTCTTTGCAGGAAGGACTCAGTTGATTATGGGTTGTTTGCATTTTATCCACTCTGTTCGCTCTCAATACGTTCTGATTTAAAAAGCTGGAAGTAAATTCATTCAAACTGAAAACAAGACGTGTCGGAGATCTACGCAATATCCTGCTTTCTGTGTGTGTGTCTGTCAGTGTGTCAGTGTGAGCATATGTTGTTCAAAAAGAAAAGTTCACATCTGAAGTTCAAATACAAACAGACACACGACAAATCAACCACAAACATCATCCTTATTTTACTGTTTTATATCTCTTATAGACAATTAAATAGAAACATCAGATCATTGTTATCAATCACAACACATAGATAATATTGTTTATACAATGGACCAAAAAAAGAACGAACACCATACAATACCAGAGCTCTGCAGGAACTTCTACTGAGGAGAACAATGTCATGAGGACGTGTTGATTTGATTTTTTGTAGACTGTGCCACCATTTAATGTGGTATTCTATAAACTTACTAAAAATATAGTGCACAACCTTAGCAGCACAGATCTTCTTATATTTCATGACTATAACAAACTACAGCCTGAAAAAATACAACAGATCATTCATCAGTCCACAGTCTCCAAAAACAAACACTTAAAACTCATCCAACTGGATTTTATTTTGCATTGTAGGTTGTTTCTGTTATTATGTCCATTCCCTGTCGACAGAATCAAACCGTTCACAGTAGAATGGGGCATCACTGAAGAAAACGCTCTTCTCACTGAAAGGTAAGTTTCAACGCTCATTTTCCACCTTAGCACCGTTCTCTGCGCGTTGGAAGTTAAAGTGTATTTGGAGATCCGCGAGGCTGAGTGAGCCTTTTTATTCTCACATTCAGAGATTGCTGAAGGGGCCTGATGTAACGCTGCCAGGCAGGAGAGGAATTGACAGCTCTGTAAAACTGCTTGAGAATAAACATGACCATTGTCTTGACAGAAATTAGAAATGTTTATATTCCATATATTATATTACACTGAAAAAAAAACATTGTTTACCAACTGTAAAAAGAAATACTTTGGTTGCAAACACACAAAAGGTTATTTTTTAATGATTAATTGTATTTGTATAACTTTTACTTTGAAGAAAGAAAGACATTTGTGTTGTAAGTTGGGAAACAATTTGATTTTGTCAGTGAATTATCAGAATTATTCTATTTTCTTTTGCCTTTCTCAGTGATGTCAGGGCACGAGAAAACAGTCCAGCTCTTTATTGCAGGAATAAAAAGTCTGAATAAATAACGGAGCACTGGATGTGCATGCTGATTTCCATTAACTATATATGCAAGTGACATGTGCACATTATTTTCCATATCGTGACATACAGGGCTAATTTAAGATGTGAATGCCCAACAAATCACATGAATACATACAGTCACAACCACGCTAAGTGGAAAAACCTTTAAACTAGAGAATATGACATTTCATTGTGGTCCTTCTTTTTAAACAATTGAAATTCACATTCCTGTTTGTCATCAGTCACAGATCTACTCCTGCTTGCTCAGCTTGTACTCCCGCTTGATTCTGGCATAGGGGCCGATGCTGTCATCGAACACAAAGTCCCATAATACCCGGGTCCAGGAAGTGTGTTGAGGCAGGGAGTTGTAATACTCTGCTGCGATTTTCTTGACCTGCATACAACAAATACATGAAAGACAATTCGTGAGAATAAGAGGTTGGAGTAGGATAAGGATGCAGCATTACATGAAATATACTGGACAGAAATTTGGTGAAAACATGAAGTGTGGGTCCTGTCAAAGCCTTTTTCACTGTCTTAAACATTGTGAGAGAGAGCATTGGGTAACCTTTCCCTTGATTTCTTCTTCGAATAACTTATGAATCTCGATAATAAATAATCCAGCACATTTAGGGAACTGATATTTGTGAGTGTGTGCAATTTGGTGCAGAGCCAAATCTAGATCTAGTAAATCTAAAAGGTGGTTTGGGCCTTGGTGGAGGTGTGCACTCTACTCTGTGCCATTTTAGTTCAACGTCACACCTTATTTCCCTAAGAAAATCAGATAAAAGCTGACTGAGGCAGACATTTTACTGCTTTGTTGAGCAGGAGCCTTTTGTGTATTTTTCTGTGTAACTTAAAACAAAATCATGAAAATACTGTATATCCCCTTGATTGTATAAAAGTCATTTTTTTCTAAACACAGACAAACTAAAGCAATATCAACTCTGTTAGAAACAAACATAACTCGATTTCCAAACTGGATTCGTTTAATGTGTCATTGTGAGCTGTGTCAAAAGGCTCTTTGAATCCCCTCATCCAGATACATAACCTGTGTTTTTCATTTGATTCGTATCTGCAGTCTATAGAAGAGAATGTGACATGTGGGGTTCAGCTTGTGCTGATACCTTTTTTTGTTTAGACTCTGACAGAGGCCTGTCTTATCTGCAAACGCCTGGAGGAGATGTTGTGTTGTAACGCTGGACTAATAATAGCCTCAGGGAGGGTAAACAAATGGCCTGACCTTTGGTAATTGTACAGTCATGATTTATCACAGTAGCATCAGCTCACCTGAGGTAATTTACTGCCAGGTATGCTGGGGAAGTCGTGGTGCTCCATGTGATAGCCCACATTGAAGGTGATCAAGTTCAGTGGTCCATAGTAAGAATAGGTCTCGTGCCCCTTCAGGAACATGTAATGCTCAGCTATGAAATGTCCAGAGATAGGATGCAGTCCCATACACAGGATGGATCCTGCAATGAGGTAAACGATGGGCTTCAGCCCCCATAGATAATAGATGATTAAATCTGCCACGAGCTGCACCGCCGCATTCTGGATCTCCAGCTGACCCACTGGTTTAGGATTGACCAGCAACGGGCGCAGGGCGTAAAAAAGCGGCTGGAGGAAGAGCCACAGGACCTTCCTGGCTGGGGTGCAGAAGAACCATCCCTCTAAGTCTGTGGGGATGTCTACATCCAGCTGGTCGACTCCCAGATAGCGATGGTGGTCGATGTGATACTTCTTGAAGGAGGCGGAGTAGGGCAGGCCGATGGGCAGGTTGGCCCACATGGCGAACCAGCGGTTCCACTTGGCCAGCTTGTTGCCAAAGGCCACGTTGTGAGAGATGTCGTGGATGGCTAGAGTCAGGGAGTGGTTGATGCAGCCTCCAAAGGCGTAAGCCCAGAAGAAGATCCACTTCCAGGAGAGGGTGTGGACCAGGTAGCAGGCCAGGAGCTGGGTTAGGACCATGCCTGATACCACCCACTTCAGCTGGGGGTCCGGACCCATCAGGGACTTGATCTCTGGATATTTGGCTTAGGAGAGAGAGGCAGGAAGAAGAGGGATGAAATTGAGCATGGTTGGAGAGTCAAAGATAGCAGAAAAAAAGGGAAGTAGTCAGAGCAATTAAAGGTTCCGAAAAAAGGTAGAGGGTTAAAAAGAAGGCAGTAGAGGTAACCAAATGAAAAAGTGGAAGTTATGTAAAGGCTACATAGAAATTAAAAGAAGCAAAGTATCTATCATACAGCAGAGAAAGTGGTATGTATGTATGTTTATTGTGTTTGTAGGTGTATGTATCATTTTGTTGCGCTGTGACTCGACACTTTGAATCTCAAATAACACAATCAAGCATGCTGTGAGGTGCGAGTACTTCTCCTGGGAGTAGCCTGCTGACAAAAGTCACTTTTAATTGGCAGAGGTGTTGTTTTGCTGAGGGACATGAAACTCTGAGAGATACGAACTCGAAAGATCTTTACAACACAATCTGCTCATACAGGATGTGTTTTGAATGTATGCCTCTTTGCTTTCAGCTCATTTGTAAATGACCTGATGCAAATTGGAGTCACCTAGCAACTAAAGGACAGCATCACCAGACGTTATGACTTCTCTGCAACATGTGGCTCTCCCCTTTACCGTCCACACCCTCTTTATTCAGTTAAACTTTTAAAACAATATTTGCTGTGAGAAGGTCAGTTTTTTATTCTGCAGGAACATTTCATCTCATGCATCAGGTCCTCATGTCATTTTATCATTTACTCCGATGGTTTCACAGCTTACGCAAAGCACACAAAGTTAAATCAATAACCAGACACCATAAAAGAAATTGTTGAAACTGCTTAAAGCTGCAGAGCCATCACTGGATGACAATGTCCATGTCACAGAGAAAACAAGTCATTTTATTCACATACTGTACCATACTCAGGTTTCAGCCTCAGGTTTCAACCAGGAACCAATCTGAGAATCAGCTGCGTCCTACAAAGCGTCCATTAAAACACAAAGCTAAAGTTTTCCAGAAAAGCTTAGCACGGACGATCCTAATGCAAGGTAACAGGAACCAAATTATTTTCAGCGTTCTTCTCCTGAGTACAGAATATGTCGAGCCGACACCGCACTCATCAGACAACGAGCCATTAAATTCATGAAACCGCCTGTCAATCAAAACACGCCACAGGATGATGTGAAAGCGTGTGACCTTTGACATTCTCGCCTCTGAGGGCGAGGCAGAGGGTGATTAAAACAAACAAATGCTTTAATAATTCAAGGCCTGGTGGTGTCAAACATCTATTCACCCTCTGGACCCTTCTTTCACACCAGAGCAATCATGCGACTGATGGACAAAGCCGGGATCAAATATACATCAACAGCTTAAGAAAGTTTTTATACTGAATGACATGATGGATCAAATAGTAAAAAGTGCCTGTTTTTCCATAGGGATTTCATATCCTTGAAATGAAGTAAGAAAATATGAAGGATGATAATATAAATATCCTCTTTTCGATTAAGAAGAAGGATTATTTGTCTCAGGGATCTACCCAGATCCCCTGACTCTTAACAAAGCCTCTGTCCTCACTTGATGCATGCCATTGTGTCTCTGTGTTTGTCATGAGCAGAGAATGTGTCTCGTTACCTAGCGAGACCAGAGGCATTGTCAGCTGCACCTGCTATCAACAGAAAGTCACAGAGTGAAAAGAGAAGACCAGAGCAGAGGGGCAGGGGGCTGGTTTACACAAAAGTCAACAGGTTCAGGCCTTGTGTGAAACATTTCAAGCAACAGAGACAGAGACACTACACCTGAAATAATAATTATCCCTAAAACGTTGACTTTATTACGTCTTACATTTCCATGTAACTTTATTGCACAAGTTCAATGTAAAGGGTCAGATTTAATGAAGAGTTTCTATCATGTTCTGTTGGTGTCAATAAACCAAATAACTCCAGAATGATTCGACT